TGATGGAAAACACTCGATATTCAAACTTTATCTGTTTTAGTTTGAGCAGTCAATCATATCACTAATCCTCAAAAATAAAATGTCGTTCAAAGTTGAATACACTAAATTATGTCTGTTAACCGAGTTTCACTACTTAATTATTCTTATTTGAAAATAAAGAATTGTGCTTTGTCAGAAGACACCGACATATGTATATTGCTTCGGTAAATTCACTTATCATTCATTATTATAATAGAAATCAAAGGGAGGTAGAACTTTTTTTACTTTTCTGCGAAAAAAAACATAAACGTAGTTAATTCACAAAAACGGATCGTGTGTATACAAATAGGTTTTCATAATTAAATTCATAACTTTTAAAGTATTATGCATACTTTATCATACCGGAAATGATCTGTTATGTACCACCATACAGTGATAGTTTGCGAAGCTGAACAGTAGTTGCTGGCCTACAATTTGATCATAGGTAACCCTGTGAAGTAAAATGACAAGCGTCTCCATTTTACAAGAGAAGAAAGTAAGGGCAAATTTTGAAGATTATTTATATGCGAGAAGAGCTGTCTTCTGGGTCATGATAACACGATCTAAGTTACTAACCAGAAACTAAGTTTACTATGGGCGACAAAAAGAGTTGCAAATATTTTACAAGCTTTTATTTTTATTTCCAATCCCATCTTGGTGGGAAAGAATATTGACTGTTTCAAAGAGGACCAGACGTTTTCGCACAAAATATTAGTGGGTAAAATATATTTGAATATATGAAGTAGTCAGATTCAGTACAAAAGGTTTACCTAGTCTACAAATTCTTGGCTTCAATACCTTGATTTACAAATTAAATTTCAACAAGTTTTAATTGAGATCACGAAACTATCAGACCTTTATTAAAACCTGAAAGTACTGGACGGTCGTTTCGTTTCATTGTAGTAAACTCCATCTGTGCAAATTCACGATCTCGCATACAGAACTTGAACCCAGAATCTTCTGTCTTGCGTGCAAACGACTAACCCCTAGAAACTGAGCCCGCTTCGTGGATGCGCACTACTGAGTAGTCCCATGCTATGACAAAACAGCAGTCAGGTTCTTCCAGGTTTTCACTGGGGTTCTAAAATTGATCGGTTCCTTATCTCCATTAAAACTCTACAATCTCCACGACCCCACACTGATAAGTTTTGACCTGTTGGTTCGACTCTAATGATTTCAGAAATATGTAATGCATTATTGGTTATGACGTTAATTTTCACCGCTTTTATTTCGTCCCATTTCTAAACCAGGTTATACATAGGTAAAATAACATAAACTGTAATATTGTAGTAGTTCTAATGATTAGTTAATCAATAAAACAATAACCGAATAATGGGTTATAATGATCTTTTAAGTGGATACAAGTCTTTTTCGTTATTAGTTTTTTAAAGATTTATGTTGACTAACAGATGGTTTACTGTGGCGTTATATTTGAACAAGTATAAGTATCAACAGTAATGAAAGGAAATCTTATCATGTTTGTACGTTTTAAAATCTAAATAAAGCGTGAAAGTATTCCGTAATTCTATTTCTGTTAAGTTGGCAAATTCCCATTTTCCATTAAGAAATCTAGGATTATTAACTTCAATTTCATTGAAAAAATGAAGTAACAAAAGATTTATGTAATTATTTGAAAACAGATTCCAACGATAGGTTAACATATTTAACCGGAATTACCAATGATGGTTCTCATTTGTCTGACAGTTTTAGGCCATCTACTTTCAGAAATATCGTATTAGTTATTCCAGAGGAAGTGAGACAAAATTTTCGTTTAAAAAAAATACATATATTATCATTGACAACATATGTATTTCGTAAAGATCAAAGTTTATAACATAGAGAAGGGAATTGATTAAAATAAACCATATCGACAACCCGAAACACCAGTAATTTTCTAGATTATGCTAGGGAAAACAAAATTGACGACAACAATAACAATCACAGTAGAATGTAGTTTTGCAAAGACCAATGCTTTGATGCAAACTTTAATTTGATTTCACTGAACATAGAGATAGAAAGCTACTTTTTTACTGGTAAGATAATTATTCCTTTTCTAGAATTCATGCAAAAATAGGTTTGAGTCACATAGAACTTATTTAATTAATTATAGACATAATGGTTAATTAGCAACGTTTCCGTTCAGTGAGACTAATAAAGTTCATCCTTGAAATGAATTATATTTACTGTTTTCTTTAGTTAACATCGCCAATATTTTGAAGGATAAAATCTAAAAAGTGCTATTTCTAGTACTATAATTAGTTTGATGTTATTTGTCAGTAATTAATATTAAGTGTCATTCAAAAACATTATTATTAGTTTCATATAATTTGAAGAAATGCCTAAAATAAGTAAACTTTTTTTACACGGTAACTTATTTGCTAATTACAGTTTTGTGTGCACATCTTCGAGTCACAACTTTTGTGGTTGATGATTAATAGTGATATTACTCAAATCTGGATAGATCTTAGCAGATGATTGGCGTTTTGAAACTGAATATTGATAATAAAAACGTCAAATGTTCTAGGCATTTAGTCATATGTCTAATTTTCCCAAAGACAGAATTAGTTTTATTATTTATACTTTTTTAGTTCTGTTTTTATCAATGAAAAGCTACTCATTCCTTGCATTTCTAGGCTTTTATAAGAAGAACTTCAACAAGTCGTCAGTAAAAAATCTATTGATAACTTTCTCTTTAAACACTATTTTTCTGATTATTAATCTCATTAAATTTCATTTGACCCATAAGGTAGTTTGTATAAACATTAAACAGCAGTATTTTCAATACTAATAGTTTTATTGTTGAATTGTTGAATTCATGAGTCGATCAAAGCTAGACCACCACTAAAAATTTGGAAGTACTGGACGGTTGTTTCGTCCTAGTGTTGAATTTTTCAGCAGTGCGCATTCACGATCCTGCACACCAACGCCTAACCTCATAACCATTAAGCCGGCATCCAACGCTGTTAATGCCTAACTTCTATCGATCGATGACCTTGCGCAACCATTCATCCACTGTCTGAGGTGGATAACTGTCTAAGAAATGACACGGATTGTACTCCACTGTTCACAGCTTCTTACTAGATCTCCATGAAATCGATGTTAAAGCTAGTTACTAGTGAGCACATGATTATTACCAGTGTGGGGTTTTGAATTCACGATCCAATCCAAGCTATACCACCATTCAATACTTGGAAGCATTCACCTTAGTATGTGACAGTGCGCATCCACACCCATTATTAGGAAAAAACGGCCGTTCAGTGTTTCTAGGCTTTTAACAGTGGCTTAGCTTAGATTGACTAATGAATTCAACTATTAAAATTACTACAATCTCCACAAATTCCCATCCTGATAAAACTTTCTTCATTGAGTTCTATTTATAATTCCTCATTGATAAAATCGATTTCTTTCGTTATTTCAACTGTGTCTGTTGTTTTCAACCTTGATGTTTCTCATCAACTCACAATGAACGAAAAACCCATCTCGAATAAAACTAATACTTCAGTTTATTTAAGGGATATCAATTAGTGATTAAATGCGCGCAAAATGTTTTTTTGTCAGTTTATGCTCGATAATATCATTCATCGTTTAAGAAAATAAAAAAGGTACTTGTTGAAGCCCCTATGCTTTTAAAGTGTAGCATTGAACTTGTATTTAGTAAATCTAAACTAACGGATCTGCAAAACGTTTCCCACTGTATATAACTTGTGGCTAACTCTTACTATAATTCTTTTATTTACCTATCCGTTTGATCAGATTTACAATTTTTCCAGTTATCATCCTCTAGATTAGCCATATTGATTGGCTAAGGTTATCTATAGAGAAGTACTTCTATATATTCAGGTTACGCTTTTCAAAACAACGTTATGAATAAATATTCATTTCAACCAGAATGTTATTAATTTTAGTCCATGACAATCAGATTGAAAAAGGACATGGCGAACGGGAAGATTTGGTTATTAAAAGTAGGCAACTCAAAATATTCATTTAAAGGAACAGATATTATAACTCAAGAAGCTTTTAATGTGCTAATCCTATTATTGGTGTTTTTGACATAATGACTATAAGATTGTTTTAGTTAATTCTGATTTGTGACTTGTAAAAATAATGTTATTTGAGATAAACCGTGACATGTTGAATTTTCAAGTCTGAATTCAAATTTGCTGTGAATTTCTGTTGACATAGTACTCAAAATTTGCATACTAAAGTATGCTTCATACATAAAAGAGTGATTGAAATTCTGTAATTATTGATTAGGGATGTTGTAGAATGGATATCTATCTTAAATGATTTCTTTGTACTTTTCAGACAATTATATTTCTGTGACAAACTGAAGTAAACCTTTGAACATTTACCAAGATAACTTCATACGTCAGCTCATAATTTTGTCAGAAGAGTAGTTTACAGGTCAGACGCATAGTAACATACCTTTGTTATGGTAATAATTTACTAATTAATAGCCGCTATGACTCTATAATGAAGTATTTTCAAAACAGATCATACTACGTATTTTGGAGATGAAATATTCTTACCAAACAAATAAGATACCTATTTTTCAAACAACAGTTTGTATTTTGATAATGAGTTCTAATTTACCTTTAGCCAAAGCATTGTATATTGAAAAATAGCAAAATCTTTAATGATTCCTGGTAAACGTTATGTATAAGATTTCATGTTTAATAACTTCTATGGTTCAAGTAAAGTATACAGGGTACATCAGCTAATTGACTGATAAATTGCCCATAAGAAAAACAAAACCGCGAGAGTTTCAGTATAATTGATATACAAGTAAACAAAGTTACTAAAAATTATCCCATTGATTTTCCGAATGGTGTGACCATGAGTAATTTAAGTCCAAATACTATTTTGGTAAGCTGGTTTTACTGTGATTACGAAATTCAAAACAATTTTCTAATCACCGGAAAGAAAATCAAATATTACACAATGTATTTAATCAACGTAAATATATTTACACTAGAACTTACTCATTCGTGAACCAATCGTTCTTCAAATCAATGAATAAATGTAAACTTTTGCTATGAATACTAAGTTATGCACTGAGTTCACAATTACCTGACGATCACCTTGTATACGAAATAACGTGACAGGTGCAATTCAGTTTTCTGACGATATGAATGGTGAACTTTCTAATGTTAGGAAAATAAAATAATCGCCCAAAAAATAGACCTGAAAATAGAAAAACATCTTAAATGAGTAATAAGTGATTTACTTTCATAATGTAGTGCAAACGTAACCAACATATTGGATAAGCTTGAGTGAATAAATATATTTACCATTATCGATTATAAATTTGCCAAAATCTTTACCTCAATTCAAGTTTATCTCAATAAATCAGATGAAAAGAGATGACTATTCGATAAAAATGAGTAAATATACAGTCGTTTCGTGTTCAAACTGCTAAATATTGACTCATCACTAGGTTAAACTACAATAGATCATTAGTGTAACCACATTTCTCAGTATGGATCAAAGCAATTCATAAACCAAGGATTTTGAAAGTTTTACTTGAAGATTAAGTTTGACGGGCCTGAAAGTTGTTTAATCTTTGATGTATTACCTGCCACTTATATATTTGTTGGAAACGTATTGTTTTTATATCTTCCAATAAATACGCTCTGAAATCAATTCTAAATACAAAATACTGTACTATTATGACAATAGAATTTACAGCCTAGATTAACGCATTTTGAAGAAACTGTACATATCAGGAATTTATACATATTCTTTGTTTTTAGATAATAACCGTAGTCAAGATACATGAATATCGCTATAGTTTTAATAAGAAAATTATCAAAAAGTTATAATTAAATTCCTAAGCCAAGATATCCCCTAAAGCCCGGTCCAGCTATAGATATTGATAATCTTTTGGAACAGTCGATTGGTTCTTGTGAATAAGGTTTTAGTTACTTATGATACGCACATATCTGTGATAGAATAAATGGTTTTAGTGAAACACCGTGTACCGATGAAGCACGAGGGATAAATTATCATGATTTGCTACTTCTGAGTAGGTAAGGTATTACTTAGCTCTTTGTTTTAGCAATTAGATATTTCATACAAACCTAAAATATACCAGTCGAATCAACCTATGCATTGTCTCCCATACACGAGAACATAAACGTCATGATTGAGAAGGTAAGATGCTCTTCACACCCCTATTTTAAATCTGCCCTTAGTGAGAGGCAAGATGAACTTCCAGCTCTTTACGTTATAAAATGCGCGTTACATGTGTATCTGCAATACACTCTTCCAGGACCAATGAAATCTGTGGCATACATATAGGTGTAGATGTTAGTATTTGGGAAGATAGTATGTTCTCTAATCCCATATTTTTATACATGCTGTTCCGCTTGCGCTTTAGTGAAATATGAAAATTATACATCAAATACATAATCTGAACATCTTCCTTAAGTTGTCCTATCATTCTTTAAATCTCGTTGTCACTCCGATTGCTTTCTGTTTCCGTCCTTCTTCTCTTTATCTCAATCTTTTATTGATGGGCATTATACTTCCTGTTCCTGCTACACATTACTTATAACTGTCCACATAAGATGCACACATCACACAAGCACATATTGCATGCGTACATGGAACAGACAGATTTAACCAGCTTATTTTATCCATAGTATACAAATCGACATAGATGGGTTCGTGTATCTGGAACGAGTAGAAAACCGATTAATACGAAACTACGTTTGAGTAGTAGATAAACCTAATCTCCATCGACCGCTCATATTTATTTATAGGACACAATTTCCTATTTCTCGCACACCATCAAGGTATGGGTCAGATTTCGCTCGGGTAAGCCAAGGTTTGTTGATTAATGTAGTTAGTAATATCCCACGAAATGTAAATTATAAATACTTGAATATCAAATAATGATCGGGTGACAGTAAATGTGAGTTGAGATTTGCTGTGATCGAGTGTAATTGGGATGAGTACATCAATCGAAACCTTTAGTATTTAACAATATTTTTAGCTGAAATATGGTATAAAATTTTTACGTAATGGAATCTTAGGAGTCTTGTTAGGTGTCTATGAAGTTAAGAACTTGATTTTAAAACACAGTTATGTGTATTTTAATATGATTGGAAAATTTCAGAGATTAACTTGATTTTAGCCAACTGTAAAATTTATCAACCAAAATTAATGGGGTCATATTGGTAATCGGACTTGTGGGATTGGTAATCGCTAGAGACCAGGTGCACAGTGAATAAGAACCATTTCAGAGTCAATAACAACATTATAACCACAAAAATCAATTCGTCTATATCCACTTTACTACTTGTTATATTGTATTCTAGAGTTCTTCGTTGATATAATTAAGGTGTGAATTCGGCACTGAATAACACTGCTCTTGAGTACAAACAATTTGTCAATAGTCAATGAGGTGTACTTAGTATACATCACTTTAAAAATTTATTCACTAGTCCACATTATTAGAGACAATCACAAAACAAAAGTTAGTTCATGATACTCTTAACAAAACAACAAGCATAATGTTTATTATCTTATTTGTGTTTTGCCACACCACTGAAATCAAAATTGTGTTAGCAAAATCAACATCAAGTTCATAAATAATCTATGAACGATATTACAATTGTGACAGAAATTTTTTAAAAAATTTGACTGACGGTCTAACTAAAGAGCTTTCTGCAGTAGATATTCTATTCGTGTTTTGCTCGTTTACTCTCTTATAAAAACTTGACTGAAATAAAGAATATTGTTTTCAAATTCTCATCTTAGCGAAAATGAAAAAAACAAGACATCGTTTTAAATATAATCGAGTTATTGTAGTTATAGTTTTTTAAATCATATATCTTAAGAAGAATTATTAAATTAGGTATATTGTTTACTAAGAAATACTTGATAGTTTCTTCAAAATAAGTAGACTAAGTAGTATTAATCTTTTGTTGTGCATGTTTTTGCTAAGTGCATATGTTAGCTAACTATATGAATTAATTTCAAAATATGTTTAGTAATATAACTAGATATCATCTAAATGTACACCTCAAGGGACTAAAATAATTCCTACTGTAACAAATGAAAACTCTAGTGAGGCAAAGTAACTTACTATTTCATGAAAAACTACATACTGGCTTGGTGAAATATGAAAATCATATATTCAATACTTTATTTGAACATCTTCCATCAGTTGTCCTTTACATGCTTCACGATTCTTCCACTTCTGTTGTTACTACAACTGTTCCTCGTTACTCTACCTGTTCTCTTTAATTCAGTATCCAGCTGGTAGCCATTCCACTTGCGATTGGTGTTACATACTACTTATATCTGTCAGTATAAGTGGCAAACATCAATCTATGAAGCCGTCAACGGATGGGAAAAGATATATAATATACATAAACATCTTGGTTGAGATTCATGAAATTATCACAATCTTTAATTAAAGTCTTTCTATAATGTAACTCCAAACTGATCTCACTAGTGCAAGTGCATTCAGTGCTCATCTTTGCATAAAACTTGAATTTTTTATCACTTTTTGCATTAGACTTTTTTACGTAACATGTCTTTTTAGTTTTCGGTAACAGGGATATCGTTATTTCATTACTTTGATTCCTTTTTAGTGTACTGTTATAATGTGTGGCGATTTAAGTCAGTTCATACTGGTGTTCATGTTTGACAAACCGAGTATCATATATTGCAGTTAAAATGAATATATATATTTCTAAACTGTCAATCGTTCATTTATCATAGTGAATAATTAGGTGACTTGATAAACCACTGAAAGAAAATCGTTAAAAATTACAGGTTACGCGTACGTTAGACATCCATAGATGATCCTGCAGTGTTATCGTAAACGTTATATCACTAGTGACCTAATTTTCCTTGAGACAAATCTTTAGTTCAGAAACAAGAAATCTAACAAATTTCAACATGCGGATGTGACAGCAGTAAATTGGTATGTAGAAATCCTGTTCAAGATATTTCTATATCGTTTAACCCAGTGAAAACCTCAGAAAGTTAATTCATTATGCAAAGCACAACAGATGGATATGACCGTAGATTTGAATTATAGTGTTGAGGATTTTACGGTTATTTAATGACATTTTATGTGTAAAAAGTACTGACAACGATATGTCTCGGGAGTGATCTGAGTTATTTTATTAGAAACAACCGTTTTGGGGCGTGTAAAAACTGTTAAAAAAGTAACGATTGTGATCCTCAATTTGGTCATCCTTGATATACAATGATTTTTTACGATAAACTATGTTTTGCGTCATCGGGATTCCATTTAATGTACTTCTGTATCATGTAAGATTTAAGGAAGTAGGACAAACAGACGTGTATTAACTCACAAGTCGTAAAAATGCAGTCATGAGAGATTCTGAAACCGATCACTTATATCTAACATATTTTAGTTCTATTTAATTGTGCATATATCGCTATGGATTCTAGTATGTTATGGTGAAATTAAAATGTCCTTATTTACTGAGCGTCGACAAACATGTTCTTAGCCTACTGACTGCCAAATATGTTATTTTTATTCCTGTCATCGACTTCTACCCTGGTCTCACCGTGAGTGCTTGTCTGTAATTGTACTGAATATAATATCACTTAGCATGTACTCTGGTTCTCTATTCTGGGTCATGAATTCTGATTCTGATATGACGTGACTAGCCCCATTATCGTATTGACGCATCATTATGGGATAATAATACTTTAAACGATTCGTTATGTCAAGTCTGTTAACCTTCGGCATTCTGCCTTTTCAAAAACGTCTAATACCAAAACACACTTGACATTGGTCGATGTTAAAGTTGGAAAACATCAGGCAAAGTGAAAATAATTATTAAATATAGACATATCCATTACAACTATATATTACAGAAGCACTTTATTTAGGTACATGTATAAACTTCCGGTAATAAATCAAAGAAGGCCTATGAATTATGATTTTAATACATGAAGATTAAGTTATGCTGTAGAACAAAGAATAGTAATTAAAA